ACCACAGGGCACGATCCTTGTCTAAGCTCGTAGGCATCATGGCAGCAGTCACCTATTTCCTCTCAAAAGTGTCGGGCGGTAGAGTGAAGTGGAAGGGACCACTCATGCCTCAAGTGTCCGGGGCTCGGAGGTGGTCAGCACTCAGATATGAACGGATTGAGAAGTGGCTAATAGTGCGGCACTATGAAGAGATGGGAATGACCGACGAGCTGCGCGTCGATTATAACCTCAATCCTCATGTGGACGAGGACGGGGTGATCAGGTGTGTTGGGCGTATGAAAAACGCCTACCTGAAGCTGTCAGCAAGGGAACCCATCTTGGTGGTGGGGGGTCATCCCTTAGCTGCACTGATCTTAGCGGAGGCTCACGAACGGTGCGGCCACGGAGGCCGCGAACATACTATCGCGAAAATGCGCGAGTCGTATTGGATTACAGGGGCGAGACGGATTGCACAGAAAATGCTGCGAGCATGTGTGGTGTGTAAACGAGAAAACGGTCGTCCGTTTCGGTACCCCGAAGTGCCGCCTTTGCCCAGGTGTCGTCTGACGCGGACCAGACCGTTTGAGCGCATCGGGTTGGACTACTTCGGACCGGTTTACATAAAACGAACGTCCGACCGAGAGGAGGTTAAAGTGTGGGTCATGCTCTTGACATGCTTGACAACACGATGCTGCCACCTCGAAATGGTGAAGGACAACTCCGCGGGAGAATTTGTACTAGCCTTTCGACGGTTTGCGGCTCGTCGGGGAGTACCTGACAGTGTGGTTTGTGATAACGCTCCCAGTTTTCGGTTGGGACTCGACGTTATGAACAAAGCGCTGGGTGAAATCCTGGAGGAGGATGATGTGGCGCGATATTTCGCCACGGAACGGGTGAAGCTACATTTCATCACCCCTTACGCGCCGTGGAAAGGAGGAATCTACGAGCGGCTGGTGGGAGTCACCAAGAGGATGTTGCATAAGGTGGTGGGTAGAAGAGCGTTCTGGACCGATACCTTTCCGACCATACTGGTGGAAGTGGAGGCAATGCTGAATAGCAGGCCCATCATGGTACCTCCTCAAGGCCTGGATGATGTGAAGGTCTTGCGCCCGGTAGACTTCCTTCTGCCGGAAGCAAACCTGAGTCTACCTCAGGTAGGAGAGCTTGAGGATGAGTATGACTTGTCTGTCCAAGCAACGGAACAACGCCTGAGGCAGTACGTTGCGGAGTATGAGAAGGTGCTGGACTCCCTGTGGGAGGTGTGGTATCAGCACTACATCGCGGCGTTGCGGGAAAGGAAACACTACCGTTCCGGAGCGGGGAAACCTAGGGTTCCGCTTGTAGGGGAAGTAGTGTTAGTGGTAGATAAGATGCAGCCTCGGCATGTCTGGAAACTGGCTCGGGTGGTAGAACTCAAAAGAGATCCAGATGGAGAGGTCCGGACTGCAGTATTGCGTTACAAAGGGCGCGAGGCGCTGAGACCAGTGAATTTACTGGTTCCGCTCGAGGTAAATCACGAGGACTTGGGCGGTCCGGAGAAGGCTGAAGAGTCCGATCAGGGCCAAGGCGGAAGCGTTCCAGCAGACGGGCAGACTTTACGGCGTCCTACGAGCGATGTACCCGCCCACCCCCATAGGTACAATCTGCGCAGAAGGAAACCGCCCGAGGCGGTTCGTGGGGGGCCGGGAGCTCATCTCCTACAGAGATGACTCTCGCTGGGGGGGAATGTCAAATTCCGCGGGAATTCGACGAAAAAGGAGGAAAAAATGAGGGAAATCGATAAATATCTCTCGCGGAGAGAGAGTGTGTGAACGGAGAAAGCGCGCGCCAAAGGGTAGAGATAACGCGCGCTGAGGGAAAGACAACGGGCGCAAAGGAGGCGCAGGGGGAGAAGTTAAAGGCCGGCACAGTAATGCCGCTTGGATTTCTCGCGGCGCGGAGTGACAGTAACCTAGCGGCGGCGTTAGGAGGTTTTTAAAAAAAAAACGTTGTTTTTTAGTTTTTCTTTTTTCTTTCTAACTGGAGTAAAAGCCTATTATTCTGATTGCGGATTATGGAGCGATCTCGCGGAGGAAGGAGATGCGCGATCCAAGGGGAAGAGAACCTCCCAGGTATGTAGTTTGACTTGGTAGAGTTCCCCAAATTGGCGGCGCGGCCGCGTGGGAGATATTGGGGGGTTTTCTTTTCCCATTAAGACGGCGCGGCCGTAGGAAGGGAGAATTTCGGGAGCATTGCCCTTGCGAAGGGCCGGAGTTAAGTGATGACAGAAGGCTCTAGCCGTCCATTTGGGCGGCGATGAAGAGCTTCTGACTGATAACTTCGTTTCTTGCCACACAAAAAATTGTTCCTTCGGGGACGTTGAATTCTGGGCGGGGCCCAGAATTTTCAAAGACCTCCCAATTTCTTTTTCTTCTTTTTTTGGCTGGGCCTCTCATTGTGACAAAACCAATTTCACAAGGAGAATGATAAATTTGACTCAACGAGACGTGCATGAGTGAATGCATGCACCCCACTCATTGACTTCTTTTTTTTCTTGCAATTTTTTGACTATTATTTGAATGTACCCTTGACGTTGTTGTTTCATATTAGTAGATGAGCAAATTTAAATGATAGTTTATAATCGTAAAATGCATTTTAAAAAATCAGTTTTACTGGTTTCGCGTCAACGATACCCTATTTAATGAATGAGAAAAAACTAATAATCTCAAAATTTTATAATCACCGAATCAAATAAAACACATGTTTCCCTAAAAATTGGTACAAGTTTTAAATATAAAAATTGGCATATAATGACGAAAAGTTTTGAACCTTCTTTGATTTGTTGCCGGTGTAACTAAACCAACTATATTATCACAGTATGAAATCCTCTTTTGAGCACATAAAACTGATGTGTAATGAAACAAGAATTGATAATAATCCACTGGTTTGTCTCAAATTTTTGGAAATTATCAGATAAGAATTGGTGAGACTCATTTTGACTGCGATAGTGATTGGCACCTTCGTCTTCGAAAATGCGCTATGTAAGTTGTTCCGCCTTGTATTTTGATTGGCATGTTGAAAGTTTTATGGTCAATTAATGACACCATTTTTTCGGTGCCATTTTAAAAGATTTTATACTTCAACGGATTAATTTTGTTTTAATGAAGATTACCGTTTGATTTCTAGAATTATGGGTGGATGGAATATATATTTTTGCAAGTATTTCTCTGGTGTCCAAATAAAAAATAATTTCAAGAAATTACAGTTACAGTGTATGCCTTTAGTTGACAATTCCAATTATTCACATTAAATACTGAGCTTGATTACCACAGATAAAAGAATATTATCATTTTATGTTCGCTGCCACCCGCTCTTTGTATAAGTAAGTAGATTTGATTTTTTATGATTTGATCAATGTAATCATTTCATAAAATTTTAATAGAGTACTCAAAAAATTGAAATAGAGTATCGTATAATTTTGGATAAAATGCTATGGCTTAATGCATTTGATTTCCATTAGCACACTCCGTTTTAAAACAATTGTATTAAAAAGGGTTTGGCATTCAATAAAATTAAGCGGTAAATTCGACCCTTCGAAACAGAGGAGTAATTTTTTCTCGATTTTGCTTTCTTTAAACTTGAAATTCTCCTATTTTCTACATACAATAACAAAACATGGTTTACTGACAGAATCAATCAAATTCTGTTGCCACCTTTTAAGCAAAATCTAAATAGTTTTTTTTAATAATAAAAACGTGATAATCTGTAATTTTAGTCTTTAAGAATGACAACTCACCAGCGCGTCCTATAAATTTAACTTGCTATTTTTTAGTACCTTTATCACTGTATAGTTAATTGAATAGAACAATGAAACTATTCAACTAAGTGTATGAAAATCACTTTTAACTATTATATTATTATTTTAAAACTTTGAATTATTTAGTGGTCGGAAATTTAATGATTGCGTGTGTATAAGCCACCCGAAGCTACTTTTATCAATACGGGACTCTTGTAGTTTTACGGTTTGTTTTCGGGACAAGCTAGAGTTCTTGTGCTATGCGACCCCAGACACCCAACTTTTATTATCAATGTGTTTTATCATTTGCTTTAATTATTATCAAAACTTACTTATTAAAATATTCACTAGTTTTATCGAACTTTGTTAGTAAACTCATTAAGATTTACTGGTAGTCATAAAAACAATAAACTTAAGAATTCGAGGCAACTTGATATTTTTTAACTACTTTACAAATCTAACGTAAAGTTTAGGTATGCCACTATGTTTGCATTGTTAGTTATCAGTTGAAGTTGATTTATCAAACAGATGGACATTTGAAAACATAATTGTTTGGCGATTCAATTCACTCCATGCTTTACATAAAACTTGAACTTTTATACTGATGGTTATTTCTTTTTTAACGCACCAAGCACTCATTACGGTGTTATCAAATACCTATGATCATCTGTTCAGAGAAGGGAGAATAGAAGATTGTTGGGGAGGTTCTGCTCTTGGCGACACATAAACCCTTTGTCTCTGGACTTAACTACCGCGGCACCCTAACAAGGGCCACATTCAATTTTATTTAAGTTTTAGCTTGTTTCTCATTAAATCATCATTTATTGGTGTTGTTTCACTGAAAATTCGAACACTGAACGATAAAAATAATACCATAGACCAACTCTGGAAATTTCAAACTTGTGCTTGATGTTCGATCCTGTTTATTTTTGACAAACTTTATAAATTTTAAGAAAGAGCAATGACGATACATCAAAATTATAACCATGGTTACAATTGCGATTTCGTTTCTTTTTTGGACTAAAAACTGTTTTGAAATTCTCAAAATATCGTTGAAAAAAATGTTCTCATCACAATCGTTGGAAAAAAAAAACATAAAGTGACTCAAGATGAAGGTATCAGTTTCTAAAAGCAAAAATAAGATCCGTTCATCTTTTATTATGTTTTCGTGATTTCTTAACATTTTTCAGATTATAATGATAGTGAAGTACTATCTTTTAGCTCTTCCTTATTTCCAATTTTTCAGATGATCCTTGGTCCCTCATTGGGTCGTTTAGGTTATTTTATTGGCAACCACTCTTGCATTTCAATTTTCATTTCTTGTTTAATTGTCGTCGCATCAGTGGCTACACTATGCTTACTTCCGTAAGTTAATCGAAACAGTGGAAAACTGTTTAATCTTGAAAATAATTCAGACCAAAATTCGAATTGGGATTCGATGATGGGTACACTGTCCCAGACGCTCCCTCGAAAGCTGAAAATCGCGCTCAGATCAGATTCTTTGGAGATTCGGTATTCTGACATTGAATTTTCAATTATAAAAAATTGAATTGTTTTAGGGAAACCCATGGTATATGGCCATTTTTGCAGTGCCTGTGCACAAAGATGGAAGCGTCATTCACACAACTGAGTTTTATGAAATCGAAAAATTTTACAGGGTGATATAACCACGCTATGTCATTGAATTTCGAATTGTAAATTTCAGAATATCAAAAAAGAACCGATTCGATTTGACAAATACCTGAACAGATCGATTAATTATTTCGATTTATGTGGTCAAACCTGCAATTTGAACGAACTTCTTTTCACAACATACGTACGTATAGAAATCTATGAAATATACTCAACGCATTTCTGAATTTAGAAGCTTAGCTTTTGGGGTATGGGATATCCTGTTGCAGAAATTTTCGGTTATAAATCGAACATTGCCAAGCATTTCTATAATGTCACTACCGATGAGGTTGGGATTACGAATTGAGCTATGAGTATCCTGAATTATTTAAGTCAGGAAACATTGTTCAAGCAAAAATCGCTCTATTAGTTTTCATGGCTTTCACAGATGATGACGACGTGCGACGTGATTTAGGCGAATTTGAAACGATGGTACAAAAGTAAGTTTGTTTATTTTTATCAAAAACAAAGGAACTTTTCAAAACGTTTTTTTGTTTACATTGGATAGTATATATATAGATGCAATGCGTTGCACAATTAAACGCCACCCTCGATTTTGAGCACAATTATTTCAATACTTTGAGACAAGCCTGATAATCGAGTTTAGCATGAAAAAATAACCTACAGGGTGCGGCAAAATTACGGGTGCATCGATAAAACCAAATAACATTTCAAAAAATCAACAAAATTCTTTCAAATTAATATCAAAATTTATTCAACACATAACAATCACAAATTAATTATCGTTGTTCGATTCTTCCGCCTCTATTCTCGATAACGTCCTTCAGCCGCTTCAGATAGGCGGCTTCGGTGACACGCAGGTATTTGGCGTCTAATTTGTTCCATTGCTTCAGAAGGGCAGCTTTCAATGAATTCACATTTGGATGTGAGAAAGCTGACACCTTCGTTTGCAAGACCCCCCCCGCCCCCCCCCAGAAAGAATAGTCCATGGGGTTCAGGTCGGGCGACGAAACGGGCACATCCGTTAACTTGATGAATGATGGAAAATTGCTGCCGCACCAGTCTTGAACGATTTTGGCTCGATATGCAGGCGCTCCGTCTTGTTGAAAAGTCAAAGATCGATTCCCATGGTGAGTTTGGGACCAGGAAGGGCATTCTTCTTCTTTGTTCATAGCTTCCTGAGACCTTTGGCGATCACTCTCTGGTTTAGTTGATTGAAAGCAGCTTCTACCGTAAACAGCTTCTCATCCTTAAAGGGAGTCGTTAGGTGTTTTCTTGCTGCGTGCCAGCTAGGAGCGATTTGCACTTTTTCAACCGAGCTTCTTTATTTTTTCAGTTAGAAAGGCGGTCTTTCTGGCACGATAAGGTATCAGATTCAGCTCATCTTTGACAATTCTTCCCACTGTTCTCGTGCTCATATGGACTTCTGACGCCATCTTGCGATGCTGCGATGTGGATTTCGACGAACTCGTTCCCTGATGACCTCGACTCGCTCCAGTGTTATTGAATAATGTTTTCTTCATTTTCTAGGACGTCTAGAGAGTTCTCCTATCTCATGAAAGCGATTCCAAGTTATTTGTACAGTGTTACGGTGAGCTCCAAGGATTTAGAAATCATCTTGTTCCCCTTTTTCAAGTCGATGATGGCCGCACGATGAATAGAATCAGCTGTCATTTTTGTAATGCGAAACGGATTTTTTTTCGAAACTATCACAAAATGATGAGAACATCAACATCACAGAAAATAAAATAAAAACATAAAACTGCATAAAAATGCGCCAGTGCATTGTGAGCTTGCCCCAAAATAATGCACAATTTTTCCGCACCCTGTATATGTTCCAATTTTTATGTTAGTATCTTAAAAAGTAATCGCGTAGTGATCGAAAACTGTTTTTTTTTTCAAGCGGTGCAGAATTATAATGATACGGAGTAATTCGTTTTTTTTTCGAAACTGTGGCGAGACCAATGTGTATAAAACTGGTTGTGTCAGTATGAAAACAGTAATTTATTTTTTCTCTTTTTCAATAATTTTGAAATGCCGCGTGGCAGTTGTCTAAATCTACTGAGCAATCTCAAATTCACAAGGAGTTGTCTCAGAGAATGTTACGAATAAAATTAAATCGAACTTCACCAGTTTATTTTTTCCGAGGAAAAATTTAATTTTGATATCCCAGACGGCTATAAAAAAATTATCGCCTCCTGTTTTCAATACGCAATTATGGAAAGTAGCATGATAGTAGGGTTTTCTGCCGCCCGATTTCTGGAATTGCTTTTCGTGATGTGTAGTATGGACTCCTCAATGCGGTCAATCATGTAAGTCCTTTAAAAAAAAATTCGCGACCGTTGGAGAGCTCAAAACAGATATCGAAGTCGAGTGGAAGACGTTAGAGCAGCAATTCAATTCTAAATCGACTCAATATGTTTCAAACTTTCTAAAATCTACGCCATACCGTGTTTTTGGTGTTTTACCTTGAAAGTAGGTGCGACCAAATATTAAACTGTTGTTATCTTTGAGTTTATAAATTGTTTCTTAAAGTGGCTTTGTTATTCTGTTCCGCTTGAAAAACAAAGATTTTTGATGACGGTTACCTTTTAAGATAATAACGTACAAATTGGTACACATATGTAATTTTCAATGCTTAACACGATTTAAACACTGGTTGGTATATTGAAAATATTGAAAAAATTGCGAAACGCTCTACTTTGGGGGTGGCCTTATAATTCTGCAACGCACTATATAAAATATATAGAAATTATTGCATATTCTGCAGTTGCAATCATAGGAATAGCATAAATAAGAATACCTGTGATAATAATGTATTAATTTTCTGTCCGAAATAACACTGTCCACGATCAAATTTTACTAATCAAGTACATATGTAACTCAGAAAAATGGATCAACACAACGCACTACCTGAAAGAAGAATTAATTTCACACTTCATAGCGAGCAAGGAATGCAAGCTGCAATTACTGAAGGGATGAAAGAAACTTCTCTCTATATCTTCAACGGGATCATTTTGTCCCTTGTCCTCCTTCTTTGTGTTTTGATTTCATTTGCTGTAATGTTCGATCGATTCACATGTTCAAGGTAAAACTGAGAAAGTCGGAGCAAAAACTTTAAATCATTACAGAATTACATTTTTATGGTTTGTTGCTCTTCTCGTACCAGTTTCAAGCTTTTTAACTTCTTTTGCAATTTATAACTCGCTGGGTTATTCTGTGAACGCAATTACTCTACTTATTCCATTTTTGGCATTGGCTTATGCTTATGACACTATAATTGTTCTTACGCACACTTGGCTAAGTGATGCTGATTTAAGAAGAGATTCGTCAAGTGAACATTTGCTTGAAGTCAGTGAAACTTAATATATTTTCTATGATAGTTCCTCCAATTAGGTTTTTGCTACTTGTATGCCATCAATCGTAATCACTGCAACGACTTCAATTGGATTCTTCATGGCGGCTACATTTAAAATTCCTAATTATGCTGTTATGTCAGTTTTCATTGGATTTATTCTGATCACAACTGTGTTCTTCACGGTATTAACATTATCAATTAAAGGAGATAATCGCTCATCTTTAGATGTTCTTATATGCTCCGTGTTTGATGTTGCTCACCCCCGCCCCCACATTCACTTCAATTCCAGATACAGCTCCAGGATTAATTCGCGAAAAGTCTTGCAATCTTTCACGCACAAAGAGTAATAATAATCTGATCGTATTAAAAGTGAATTTTCACGTTTTCAGGGGTTTACGCGTATGAGATTTCATCATCCCGATTATTGAAATTGTTTGGAATTCTTGTCTTAATATTGGGTTTTATTGCGCCCACATATTACGGATTAAACCGAGTGAACTACAATCTGGATTACCGCCAGCTTCTTCCATCTTCGTCTCCAAGAAACATCGGAGTTCACTATATGAGTGACCTTGTAACAAAAATTGAAACCCGAAAGCAAGAATGATTTGATTTTCAGGCTTGGCCGCAATATTTCACAATTTTGTTTTTTATTGAGTCTCCACCAGATTTCAGCGATCCTACACAATATTTAGAATATAAAGTATGCAAATGAGTAACTTGTCGAAAATTTAGAATTTTTTTTCAGAAAATGATCGCGGATATTGAAAAAATGGAACATAAATTACCGAATACTACAGATATGACTTGGATCAACGATTTTTGCCAGTTTACCGGGACGAGTCCACATGATTCCGGTTTGATGGGTTTTTGTGAAAGTCGTTGAAATATTTTTTTTCAGCTTTGAACATGACTTTGTTTAAAAAATTCATTAATGACGATATTTATAAGGCATGGCGCGACGGAATCAAATTTTCATTTAACGAATCGTTCGTCATTATTCGTAATTTTCTGTAATATCTTATTTTCAGTGGTCATGCAACAATTCACACAATGCTCCATATGGTTTCATTCAAAGATACCAAATCTCTTGGCGATAAAGCAAAGCTCTTTTCGAATGCTCGAAAAGTAAGTATATACTAATATTTGTAACACCTTGGTCTACTGGCCCGAAAAAAATGATAGACTTTTTGTTCAAACTTGAAATAGCCAATTAGCTCTCCGCAGACTTTTGAAGACGGTCTGGGAATTTCACGACAATCACCACACCGAATATCGTCGACCAAAACCAAAGTGTGATGTATCATGTGTGTTCAGGTTGTAAGCAAATATCCACAATTCAATGTTCACCCATTCGATACTGATGTTGGAATTGCTGATGTCATTACTCAAGTCAGCGGGGCTTTATCCTGGTTAACAGTTTTGTCTTATTGCGTTGAAAGTAGAGTTTGGTTTTAGGATTTCAATGGTTTCATTGATTGCAATGTTCTTAGTTAGCATTCTGATCTTTGGAAATTTGACGGTTGCCGTTGTTAATTCAATTATGTCTGTTTTAGTTTTTTTGGGTAAATGAACGTTAACTCATAAATGATCAATTAAAATTTTACAGCAACTATTGCATTCATTTCTATTCTTGGACTCAATCTCAACCCGTTCTACGGTACTTACCTCCTTTTTGTAGCAGCGTTAGCTCCAAAGTATTCCACTCATTTCTGTTATTTCTATCAACAAGTACGAATTGGGAGTTTGGCTAGAATACTGAAATTATTCCAGATGAAACGCATCAACACCAAAGCTCTTCGCAAGGATCGCCTTCACGAGACTCTGCGCAAATCATTTATGCCTGTATTTTCCGTAAGCTGTCTCACTCATCTTCAATTTAAATTTTTTCCAAAATTTCCAGAGTCTCCTATGCGCTGCTGTGATTTTCATTCCTGTCGCTTTCTGCCCTGTCGCAATCTTCCGCGAAATTGCCTATATCCATATGATAATGACCGCTATAGGATTTGTTGTGTCTTCTTTCCTTTTGCAAGTTTTTTTAGTTCTCCTTCCCGAAGCTTTTACTGGTACACACTTTCTCTATTCCCCAATCCACTAATCATACAGTAACTCTTGTAGTGCCCATTTTCTGTGATAACATGTTGGGTGAGTCAGGTAAGGTATCTCTTGTCAAATAATTGCCATTCAAAAATACATTCCTTAAGATTCAAGCTAACGAGTTATACATGAATCATTTAAAGAATTAACAGTTTTTCGCTCAAAATAAAACTCTTGCGTGCAATAAATGGTCTTGTCTCTCAGAAATATATTCTACTTAATAAATATTATTTTTTTTCCGTTTACATTTGTAGCCATTACCTTTTTCAAAACTTTCATGGTAAGCGGAATACAAAAGAGAAATCTAAAACTGTGGATACACCAAGGGACATTTACATACAAATGAATAGAATTTACGGACTCCGAATTTTAAAATGCTTCTTTTTTTTAAGTGAAGCGCTATAGAGCAACTGAAAAGGAGGACAAAACATATATTAAAGTACTTGATGCAGCGCACGTGCAACATACGCACTCTCAGATTCCTCGCACTCTCTCGAATATATATCTGTTTTGTAGATCACAATATTGTAGAACATTTTAATTTTATTTCTTCGTTTTACTAATGAATGTCTAATGTAATTGGCATAATCTTATTCTAAGAAATAGCAGTTCTTTCCAAAATAGTACATCATCATTGACCAACACATAAACCTCGCTGCCACTTCAAAATAGCATTAAAGCCACGTTCTAAACATATTGCCGATTTGTGTCAACCTCTATAACAGTAACAATAGATTTCAGTGCACTTCCTTTTCTTCGTGAATATTCGTGATGTAAACAGAAAGTATGGAAAATATTGTCAACTCGAGACATCTGTTTTCAATAACATATGTCTGCACTTTCACGTTATTATAGGTAATGTCTGCATATGTACAGGGTGACAATTAATTATGGAAACATACATTTTGCTGTTTACATAATTGGAAACGCAATTTTCTCTAAACAATATAATTTTAGAAAAATACCCTCATCTATAATATCGATCATTTGCAGCAGATCATTTTTTAAATCATTTTTTTAAAAATATTCTAGACGTTGCAGCCTCAGAGTCTTATGATTGGTTGCGAGATATTTTTCAACTTCTGACTGCGTATACAAGTTTTCGTCGGCCTTTTTCTTTCCTTCACCAACCGCGTTAAACAGTTTTTTGACTTCCGCACTGTCAGTATATCAAATTTTTTTCTTTCGATTAATAATTATTAAAATTGTATTTTCGCTTTGCTATAACATACTTTCACATTAAAGGCATTTTTGCAGATATATTTATTTACCATAAAGCACTACTACCTTAAAGATCATTCTGTTTAATTTACTTCATTAAATACAGTCTCTTGTTGAAAACCCTTGCCATAACTTGCAAATCGATTTTCGTTTTGTGCGAAATGTTTACCAAAATGTATAGAAAGTTTTATTTGATGAAAAGTTGTTCTTATTGATCATCTCGAATGAAAATGAATCATCGTGGGGGGGGGGGAATTTTCTGTTAAGGAAATGCAAGAAAAACTAGCAAACCCACAAATTGGAATCACGAAACTGGACGAAATCTCATGTTCTCCGGGGATTAGCCATGTGGGTGAACGCAAAAATGAAGACACAGACTGTGATAAATGATGTTTTATTGTTCTCTACAGTACCGCTCAATGAAATATCACGATGACGAAATGAAGAAGAAGAAAAATTGCCGTTTTTTAAATGCCGATGTTGAAAGATTAGCAATTTTAGAATTTTTTTTAGGTATGAACCACTAAGTTTATTTGAAGATTATGCTTTTTGACAGATTCCTGTAACATTTTGACATCATAGGTAGAGCACATGTCTTGTGGTGTCTTTTATTATTTGTTTATTTTGGAATAGCTGAAATACACCAGACTAGAAAAATAAAAGCGGTACATGGAATGATTTAGCCACAACAGGAAAGTAGATAATCAATTACAAAAAACAACAGTTTTTTTGGAATTGGTTAGGTCGACAGATAAATATGAGATCACATTATACGATTAAAGCAGCGTCAAAGCATAAGCGAGGCTAATCCAGGACGGGATATTCAAAATCTGACAGACATTTGTCGATCCGTTTGGTACGGTAAATTAAGGATTTGAGTAGTCGTCGGAAAAACTTCTTGACGAATTGGCTCAACTTTGCCGACAAGTGTTTGTGTTAGGGCCATGATAGCTTCTTGGGAAGAAGCGATCAAGTTGTTGAGTTGAACTGGGTTGATTTGGGATAGAACGGAGGCGCTGCAAAATTTTGTCATTATATTTTTCTCCACAATGCAATTTTGTACCTTGAGTTTGCTAGGAGAATCGGGGCGGTCGGGATTTGCGTCATTGGGAATGAAACTGGAGACAAAGTTATTTGCGGTGTGTTCGCGATGAACGAGTGCATTGGTGGCGAAACAGATTGTGTACAATCTTTCACTGAAAATTATTTTTTAATAATTGGAAAATGCGTTGAAATCCTTTACATTTCTCCTCGAGAAGCTCATTTCTCTTGCGAAGCTCCTCGATGTTTTTCTGGTTCTCATCGAGACGCGATTGCATAGTGGTGATGTACTCAACGGCACGTTTCAATATCAATGCTCTCGATGATTTTTCGCCGTCGAGAAGTGGAATCGAATCCTTCAGGATCATAAAATGATCTTTGATATGATCGCGGCGTTTTCGTTCCAATTCATTGTGATGCGCACGTCGATCATCGTCAATCGAAGGGCTTTGGGACTTTGGGCTGGATTCGTCGTCCTGAATATTACCAATGAAACAAAACTGCACCGCGTGAATCGTGTCTTACATCAGAAAACTCAGAATGTCTTCTCTTTCGGCAATTTTCATTGTTTTCGGACTTGCGTAACGCATTGTACATGTACATCTCTTCTGGTTTGCTGAACATTACAGTAGCTGAAAGGACTACTATTAGAGGCACATATGAAGTAAACAACGAAAATATCGACGAAAAAATGAAATAATATGCGATGCTGTGTAAGCAGACCGACCAGTGCCGAGGACGACACAATTGTCTGACTGCATTGGAACAGTCAATGCTTCGAGAGGGCTGAAACCCCGCCTCGTCCACGCGGTCGTGTGTTCTCTGCACTCGGCCTTCCCCCCCGCGAAGCATTGTGCCGTAGACCTCGCCTATTTCACCACGCCCACATTCACTAGAGTGCACGTGTTCTCCACAGCATTGCAAAGGGAGAAAAATAAGAACTTTCATTGCAATGATTGCTGATTAGCTAAGCTTAATAATGGTGTCTGACTGAGACCTTCAGCACATAAAAAATGTCATGAAAAGCACAATGGTCTGATAAATGGGAAATGGTGAACTCTGATATGTGAAAAGTCATATCAAAAATCTTTGCGCTTGTTTTAAAGCATTATGGCAGAGCAAAACACATGCCATTGCCGTGTATTATGTCTTTGGACACAGTGCTTCATGAAGTTTATGCCCTAAAACTTTGCAGAATTTTCTGAACCAGATTATTGATCATCTGATGCAACTCATCAGCAAAATAACAGGAAATTATCGCATGTCCTTTCTTCACCAAGTTTTTAATAACAAGCATCGATAACTGTGTTAGCAGACTCTTAAGAACCGATAGTTACAATTCGTATTTTTTTCTGGTTAGAGCAAATTTTGATCAGATTATTCTCATCGCTCCGCACATACATACAAAAACAATTCGATCAAAAATCATAATGAGAAATTGGAATAATTCTTTCCAAAATAAAAAAATCAAATATTCATCACATGCGAGGTCTTATTATCAGATTATCCATGAGGGTGGAAAATCTTTGCAAATCTTTTTCTAATCTTTTTTGAAAAAAACAATTTCTTCGAAGAATTATAGGCTTTGTAGAAAAATATCTTGATATAATACGATAAATTTTGTTTTGATAAGGTCACATCTTTAAATTTCTTCTAGAAAAAATGAATGAGTGACCCGTTCTGCAGTGCAAAAAGGCTCAACGTGATTCATAACAGAAATTTACGTCATTGTGTCACCTTACACTTTAGTGATCGCACGGAAATAAATCTATTGGAAAGATTGCGATTCACGTGAAATTGGGCTGATGACAGAAAACACTCAACCCGTGTCGCGGGTAGAAGTCAAATACGAAGCAAAGAACATTTCATGGTTCATTCGCGGCCGCCGATACTTGCGTATTTTGTTTAGAGGGAATGCACCGACAAAAGCGGGCGAATCAAGGAAATAAAGCAAAACGAACGTGGAGAAATGCGACATCGAATGATCGAAATTCAGCGAATAAAAAACATATCTAGTGATGTATCACAGAAATATTACAAATTTTCATTCTCAAATCACACACGTCAACAAGCAAAAATGTAAACACCATTTAATTTCAACATTTTTTCATAAAATTTCTCCTTGCAGTTCTAAGCATGTTCAACCGTATAGTCTACTTTGGACCAGCATTGTGATACTTATTTATGCATATACGTGATCGAAAAGAACATACAACAAATCGCTACATTGTAGTTTCGACCACTAAACAAATTTAAGGCAGCACACATAGAACTTTTTCTTTTTAAAAATACATCATTTTAGCTGTTGAACGGTAAAAAATCTGGCAATTCATAAATATGATATATTTTAATTCAATCACTATTTTCAGAAATAATGAGAAAATGACGATTGAATGATATTCAATGGTTTCATTTCATATCGCAAATTGTGGCAAAATGTTATTGAAATGTCGTAGTAGCATCATTATACAGTATTTGCCTATTTTTCAAAATAATTGCGACGAACGCGTATGTCAAAGTGCAACTCAATATAGTGCACAATAGTTTTTCTTCCTGCCGAGTGCACCTCGCCAAGAACGTGCCTCCGAAACATGTGAATATCATCGAGCTGAAAAAATTGTGTCTTGCATTGCGTTGGCTAATGCTCTCAACAGTTATAAATGATATAGATGAGTGAATATTCAGCAGAATCTCATTTGCAGATGAAGAATGTTAACAATTCCTGGAGATGCTTACCGTGATTCTAATGATGGGAAATACAAATTTATTCGCATTAAGAATTTAATCTCACAGTGAAATTTTTCATAAAAAAAAACCACAAAAGTAGCAATTCGAGAAGAAATTTAAAAAAAACTATTAAAAATGGGAACTCATTGCCTCTTTCATATCGAATTTCATGTTTATATTATACACTTCCTTATTCGAACAGCTGCCTACATATTTCTTGAATGAAATTTTATGTATTAAATGTCTATGAATAAATTTTGTTAAATGAAATCATATTGTTGAATGTTTTGAACTATTTTTAAGACCGCTGCAAAAACTGGGTTTTGTTCACATTAACCGTGTTGAATCATTTCAAATGCTGACGTAATTGTTTGTCGGCAGCGTGGTTTCGTTTGTTCACCATGTGGTCGATAGAAAAATGATTCTATAAAAGATCATATTTTGATGCAAATCATATAGTGGAATTTCTTATCAATGTCTCGCAATTCATATTCATTGTTTAAGTGGGTGGAAGGGATCTGATTGGAATTGATTTTGCGTGAATAGTATCCACGTTATCGCGCTGGCTTCGAGGAAGTGCCGAGTCTCATTCTGATGCAATATTCACCACAGGACTGATGAGATGAATTTCATTACGCGGAAGAGCGGATACATTTCACGAGCCAACCTCTTTTGAAAGTTCATTGATCGTTGTCGGTTCACGTGAAACTGTCATGTTTGGGGGGAATCCCTTCATCAAAAATACAAACCCAATGTAGACATGAAAATGAATTGCGACGGGATTTCCAAACATCAATGATTGGAACAAATTTTAAGAATGATTTTTCGATATTTATGTATCATCAGACATCTTAATTGGTGGAGACAAATTATTTCGTAAATTGAAAATTGTTCTTAATTATTGAGCGCTTCATATGCCATATAAGGGGTTTAGTAGTAAAAGTTTGCAGAATTGTAGTTGGATTTATAATTTTTCTGTACTTTTAGTTTTTTAAAAAGCTTAAAGGCGTTTTAATAGCGGGAATTTTTTTAAAAGTTTTGCAGTTGAGAGATTGAATTGAATAAGTCTTGATAAACACATATTAGTACAGACATATATGATATTGGTCATTATTACTAATTTCAAGCAATATAAACTTATATCAAGAAATACAGAATTATACACAGCTATAAAGAAATCGTTAGCTGAAAATTTAAAATTTTAATTTTTACATTGAAGACGTCGAGCAAGTTTAATTTTCTATCGTTCGATAAATTACGAGCATGGAAAAACTTTGCTTAAAAAAGCTTGTTTTTTTTACTGTATTGAGTAATTTCGTCCATTTGCTTGTTTCATTTTCTGATACCTTTTCAATACTACACTGCACGTTTGAAAATAGAAGAATTAATTCATGAAAAAGGAATCTGTGGCAGAACAGTTTTTATCCACTGATGATCCCCGTTTCATCAATTTTTCATCTGTTTTGTCGTCCAATTCTCAAATGTGAACAACAAAAGAACTGTTGAAAACTAATAAAACATGGATCAAAAGTGAATAAAAAATTATCTGCCACAGATCTCTTTTGATCCATTTCCTAACGTTCATTGTATGTGGCACGAAAAATATTTAAGAGTACTGCAAAAATGAGAACATTAATGATTAAGTATCTATATGCTTTAAGTTTTCTATCTTTCTGACTCTTTCGAAAAATGGAAGGTTCTCTAGAATTGCAAACTCTACAAATGTGAGGTGATGTAAATCTCTTCATCAAATCAAATTTGCAGAAAATTATCAAATCCGTATTTCCGTACTATGTAGTTGATTAACATGTACCGGATTAGTATATCTTTCAATAGTTGTTATTCATTCCCTAGAAAACAAAAAACATATGGTTTCGCACAAATAGTCTAGATTGCTTATTTATAATTGGATTATATTAATCCTATTTAGGAGAATAGTCGATATTGGTTTTAATGGGTGCACGCTTTTGGTTCCAACGCTTTAGGACACATACAAATTTTTTCCACTTCCGTATCTATTAATATTCAAAGATACGATAAGAGTTACACGATGGAAAACTTTTATTTTATCACTGTTTTTTTTCTTTCATAACCGCCCCGTGATTTGCAATCTGATTGGTATTGAGCTGGAGCCAAAGAACGGGGTACACATGAAAATGATGTGAATTTTACGACATTCGGGAACGTGGCACATAGTACACAATTCTCCCGTGAAAATTGCATGCAAATGGATTTTGATCGGAACTTTATTGTTGAGTTGTTTTCAATGAAAAATTACCAAACATTCATGAAACGAAACAGAGTACGATTTTATGGCAATTTTCAATTTCTGTTTTTAAAATATTTATTTGCAGTTGATTAGAGAAAACAATCTACTGCAGAAAATTTACTGAAGCAACATCTTACAAAATTTTCAAAATTTACATAACTAGTTTTGATTACGGAAGTTGTTATGTTTAGCAGACAAACACATCATTCTTCAATTGCATCATTTTTTCCGATTCTGCTGAAAACCATGACTACGTGGATAAATTGGACAAGTGTCATTGTGATTCATAATCGAATGTCACAGACGAAGCAATCTACATAAATAATTAATATTCCCTGAAGATTTCACCACTATCTGAGTCAGAAATTCAAATATTTCTATATTTGGTTTCAACCTGCTGACCTCCTTAAAATGAAGTAGTGATGATTTCAAATTGAGATGTTACATATGGTTATCATGCATTTTCGAAATCAAACCAAATACCAAAAAAAAATATATTATTCATGTGATATACTTATCAAAATGATTCATCCGGTCGCCGGTATCAATTAGCAAAGTTCAAATTTTTTATTTTCTACTTGTGAATACTCAAGGTGAACCAAATCAACCGCGATTGTCTCCGAATCACATGCTACCGTATCCATTTGTTGATCGTTCTTTATGCGAACAAACCGGTGTTAAATTGGGGGAAAACGGCGTGTAAGAAATGTGTCGATTTGCATCATCTTTCAAAAAATGTGGCACGTCGTTGCAGTTCAAAGTTGCCTCATGGCGATCGAAAAAACAAACCATCACGAACACGTTGTTTAATATTGGAGTGATATCAAGAAATGGGGACTAGAGAAAATATAACTTTAAAAAAAATATTAATTTCATCAAAAATTGATGCATTTTTTGTTCGTCTTAAGAATGCCTTATTCAACAAATTTCGTGACAAATCTAATTAAAAATTATTCGTCCCGTTCTGCAACAACTGCACGCATTCAATTTTCCCGCAATGGAAAAATTGCGATACGGCAAACCATCATTCGAGTGCAAACATATTTCCTTTTTTCCGAGACACCTTATATCAGCAAATTGAAAATTGAAGAATTCGCGGGGGAGTGGTGATGTAATAAATATTTCATTATATAACAAATAAATATTGTTAAATAAGTTATTGGACAATTATTCGACTATTACAATCCAATTGACCTTGCGGCAAATTGATGGGTAGGAGTGGTCAGAGCTCTTTTCATATCGTCGACACGCAATTTCCTCCAATCTGGGTTTGTTCCAAAAGCTTGTGCAAGCCTTGCGATTTGTACAAGAGAATCTGGAGAAATTCTCAAGTGATCAATTGTCACAGAACGACCATCAGAAGAGCACGGTGGAAGTTTCACGCTATCCAATGCCTGAGCGTACTGAAAAAAATATCTTTAAGAACTAGAATTGTAATCAGATTCTAGTAGGTTACAGACAATTCTTTTTTCACTTTATTGGACTGAAATGATTAAAACTGTTCTCTGGTCAATATTAAACTGTTTTTTTTTACCATACTGTGGTCACATTCCATCAAAATGAAAACGCTATCATTGCAGGAGAATGTTTTAAATGTTGTATTAGGCTATCGTAATTCGATTTGAAGGGACGCCCAGTGACACTTTTTTATGATTGATGAGACTTACCGTACCCAGGCCAATGTGATTTTTGTGCGGTGTAGCGCCGTTTTCCAAACTTTTCGCTAAAAACAGATATTCTTCGTCGTTGGGACTGACAGCGCTCAACGGGGAAAAGCTAGATTGTTCATGATTAAAATTATGTGCTGGCTGTTGAATAGTTGACTGTTGAACTGTTGGAAGCTTAAAAAAACAACAAAAACAATATTGGAGTTAGGTTTTGAATATGATACTGGTTGAGCAGCGAGCATGAATCCATGATGAGCAGTGACGATTGGTTTCTGTTGAGCTTCCTGTGTAACAGGATATTGAACATTAGACGGCTGTAATTATAATATATGCATATGAAATTATTTTAAATCTACAAACCTGCTCCAAAGCAGGGTATGCCAAAGTACCGCAAACTATTGAAATCAAAACGAAAGCGTGCTTCATGTTTTGATCAATGAAGTTCTTGGCGAAAATTCACTGCAATGACATTTATGACAATTCCACCAAACTTAAATACCCCAACGACAAATGACCATCTTCCTGTTGTGTTTGTGCAAAAAACGAATGGACAGAAACGCTTGAGCCGATTAGCGAATCGAAAGACGAGCTTGTCTAGTTGTTCGAACTTGCCAAAAACATCAAGCCTCAATAATAGGCATTGTTTTCACGAATGTCTTTTGAAGCAGGGACCGGGTGGTGAATTTCTAATTCTTGACTGCCTGGCAACATGTCATCAGACAAATGCCAAGAATAAACCGTGGTAAGCATCACTTTTTTAACTATCTTATAAAATCATATTTTTTGTCCAGCTTTAAGACAATCATACTTCTATTGCATAAAAATCAAAGGTGACGTCCCACATGAAGAACCTGTGAAATCGGAGTCGCCACTATTCGAACCTCGAAGGGAGCAGCCCATTGATATCATACGTGAGGACTTTGATCAGACAGTAAACGCAAAATTGCATCAGTATTTAACACGTGTTTTTTCCGAGAAATTGTGTTGCATTCATTAAATAGTTCAAATTTCATCATAATTTTCAATGTCTTTGTTTTCACAATGCAGCAGAACAATGTTATCGTTAACTTATACATACACGCTGGTGAATTAATGATCCAATTGAATGAAATTGGGGACTCATATTCAATTTTTTTCAGCTTATGCTCCATATCTGCAAAAACGTCCAAAAACTCGTCAAATTTCACGTCATAGTACTCGACGAATAAGGTACTTAGGAGTAATATTGGATATATTCAGAAAACAATTTTAAAATTTTTCAATACTTACATATAGTTATACCAATAAACATAAAATTCAGAATTTTTGAATATAACAATGCATATTATTTTAAATATTTTAGTTGGAGTAGAAAAGAAGATCGAGTACTCGAAATTTCGCCGAGAAGTGCGTCGGAGCCAAAATTAATAAGTACTTTTAATATTTTATCATTCTATTCATATATTCCAATTCTATCAGTCCCTTCATCCTCTCCAAAAATTCCAAAGAGGAAACCCGTGCAGAAGGTTAGAAAGCAAACAAAAGAAACAAAAAAGAAAACGGTTGTTTCTCCTGTCCGGTACGGGCAGTCGCAGTCGATCGCAACACGACCAAACAACAATAAATTACCAACTATCAAACGAACGGAATTCATACAGAAACAGAGGGTAATATGCATCATTTTGTTTGAAAAATTACTCAATTGTTCAGGAGAACCGCTATGATTATCAAAAAAAGGTACAAGCAGCGAACAAGAAAACTTCGAATCTTCGCAAAGTGAAATCGGAGACGCATCTGTACAATATGCATAAAGAGCCACTCATGAAGCAAACCACAGCTGCTGTTAGAAATTTACAGTTTTTATCATTGACGCCAAAAGCTCAAACTCTGTGGAATTCTTTACAAAATTATTTTCAAAAGTTCTCAGTTTAAGTAATTACTTTCAGGATAAAAAGAAGAGAAAACGTGAAATCCCTCCTCGCTGGAAACATGTCGGAGATCGTAATCGCCGAGAGTTTATTGATAAAACCAAACAATCATTTATTTCGGACTATTACTTTTAATTCTTCAATAAATATATTCCTAGCGTGATCATAATACATGAAGTAAAATGCAATTGAACATTCTCATATAATCGAATCGAAAATAAATTAAAACAAAAAATCGAGGATGAAAATTTACTTTCTGAATAAACGTTAATACAGGTTTAAATTGTGGAATAAATTTGAATTTTCAAATAAATCGATTAAAAAATTAGTCGTAATATATACTTCCGCCTTCGGGATTTATTGCTCAATTAGATTGTTCTAACGATGTTAATTTTATTTGTTTTCTGTTTTTTTTTTTTGAAGAGACAGGTCTTTCTCACATGTAATTAGTTTTCCGAATAATGGTAGAAGTGAGGTCTGGCTCGCTGGATTTCCCATATGCAGTGTGAAGTCCTACGAACAGATTAACGTTTTATTTTATAACTGAAAGAAAATTTCAATAGAAAATGCATTATATTTCCGATTTATTTTTTATTGTCGTTGAACCTTTCGAAAAAAAAACCAATTAATCAGTCACGTTTCCATAGTAATTTGCCTGCTTTTGTCTGTATTTTTTGTTCTCTATGGCTTTGCTATTCGTCGTCGTCATCGCAACACTCAGTCGCATTCATTGTGTCAACATGAGCAAAAAGCAACATAAAAAATATAAAAAGGAAAAAGAGAAAATTTGAATAAGATTTCTCCGCAATGGTGCTCTTTGGTGGCAGTGGTATTACTAATAGGCAAAAGCTGACAGCATAAAAATCTTGTTGTCCATGGGTTTACTGGCTACTTTACTTCCGGTCATGAGAAGTGCTCATTTCTCGGTTGAGTTCAGTATTTTTTTAACCGAAAAAGTGTACATTGCACCTTTTCAAAATCATATTCTTATTCAGTTATCCTGCAAAAGGGTTAAAACGTGTAATTAGTATTCCTGTTGCTGGGCGACAAGGGGGACATTTCAAATTCCGAGACATTCTCATTTTCCACGTACAATGCAATTTTTGCGACATTTTTTTTCATGAATGGAATTTGATTTTTTATTTCAGAAAACTCGGGACATAGCGTGCAAAATATTGGACGCATACAATGATTAATGGGTTGCGAGATATCAAAACCATTGTTCACGGATTCGCCGCGAATCACCAAAGTTCATCCAACTGAGGTTTCTTTTTTCAATTGTTGTCTTAAAAATTGTATAGTTGGTGTTGAATACTCTTTTAGAGTAGGTTTATTGCCATGCGTTCTTTTTAAAAAAAAAAGGAAAATTATAACATCGTTTTTTTTCAATATATTTTTTAACCATTATAAATATAGTTTTTTTATTCCGATAACTTCGGAATTTCATTAAGATCTATATTTTCCAAAGCTCATTTTTGATGCAATTTATTTGTTATTGGATCACATTTGTATTTCCAAAATAAATTCACTTATTCATTGTTTTTCTTATTCGCCTTCATTTTTCGCTAACTTGGTTAATATGGTGACACATATTATATTTTTTCTTGTTTAATAGAGAACGTGAGAAACAACACATTGATATTTTTCCAAACGATTAATTGCTTATAGGGCGAGAAGCAGATTGAAAGTGTTCATTCTTCTCCGATCAAACAAGTCGAGTTTTCCGCTTCGAAATCCTCTTCTAGAAGCTCTTCGATATCGAAAGAAACGAAAGAATCAGGTGCAATTTCATTCGAAATAAAAAAGGTTGGTGTTTTATTATTACTATGTGGGTTTTCTTTGCTTTTACGTTGTACTGAGATTGAACGATTTGTTTCGTAAAGTGTGCCTACATTACATCTACTCAATTGTTCTCGTTTTTGCTTTGTATTTCCGTTTTTTCGACGAGAAAAAAAGTATACTTTTGCAGCCGAGGCCTTTGACTAGATCATCATCAATTGGTTCAATGCTCGAGCAAAGACCGCCTAGTGGGATTTCAAAGTAATCAATTATGAACTATCATTTAATAATCATTTTTTTACAGTTCTTCATTCAGCAGAGTTAAAATAAAAAACACACTTTCAAAACGTTTTACAATTGATACGTCACGCGCGAAATCTAATCAACCAGTAGTATCTTTATGTGCCAGGAAAATTGGTATTGTTGAGGTAAGCTTATAGTATTATGACGTATGTTATATTCTTTCTAGGTTAGGCGAGAAAATTCCTGTTACTCGAATAACCGATTACATTCGTCGGTTTAGCACAACTTTGTATAAATACCAATAGAACTTTTTTTACGCTATTCTATAAATCACGTATTCTGAACAAAATGACGTGCGCTTAAAAAGCATCTCGCTTTTTTCTTGTTTTTCTAATTAAAATGAATCATGCTAAAAATCTGTTAAATTACAATAATTACTGAATATTTAGTATCGACGACGTGTATTTTCACAGTTGTTTATTAATGAAATTAACTATTTTCTACAATTCGTCATGACAAATTTGTGAAAATTATACCGTCTTAAACGAAAAATATTATATTGCTTTTTTTTGTATACTGTTTGCTTGATAAGCATACAATTGTACAATAACGGAATTTCATTGCATCGAGCTGATAATGCGTTCAAAAAGAAACAAGACAAGACACAATTTATAAAATATGTGACAGTTTTAAAATACATTCTGGTGTACAAAGTGCAATGAGCATTTATATTTAGTACCCAAATGGTGCCGAGGACAATCGTCCGTGTGACGTGTATTGGCACAATGTAGTCTACAACGATATGAACAAAATCATAACATCACCCCATTCAAAAGTGAACAAGTTCCCAGGTACTAGCAATAATGAAAATTGGTGATATTTTTCCTCTTTAGGAATGACTGAGCTTGCGCGGAAAATATCTCTAACACATTCAATAGCATCTATGCAAAAATTATTTCCGGATGAATACGAATTCTATCCAAAGTCGTGGTTTCTTCCAGCACATATGGATGATTTCTATGTAATTCCAGATTGAGGCAATAATTGCTTGAATTTGGTGGTTTTTAGGCATATTATCATGGAAGAATACGGGCAAATAAAAGTGAAATGTGGTTCATTGTTAAACCAGATGAGGGAGCTCAAGGAACGGGCATTTATCTCATTAATAATCCCGATCAGATTCGCAATATAAATGTGAAACAGCTTGTGCAGGTTGAAAGCTAAATTGATTGAGGGCAAATCGAATTCGTTTCAGGAATACATTGCGAATCCAATGTTAATGGGTGATCAGCTAAAGTTTGATTTTAGAGTTTATGGAGTTATCAAAAGTATTAATCCATTATCGATATATGTGGCAAGAGAAGGTGAATATAATTAAAAGTATAATTCCACTGATTCCACTTTTAGGAATGGCTCGATTCTGTACTGAAAAATACGAAAAACCAGATTCGTCTAATTTCAAAAATTTATACGCACATTTAACAAATTATTCACTTAATAAGGCAAACAACTCATACGTTCATAGCAACACCCTACAGGATCAAGTCAAAGGTTCAGTTAATTAAACTAATTTTTTTCTTAAAAGCCGGTTAACCAGGTAGCAAAAGATTGTTGTCAACAGTATTCCACCAGCTTGAATCAAGAGGTGTCAAAACAAAAAAGTTGTGGCACGACATTAAGCTAATATTAGTGAAGACGACATTGGCAATGCTGCCTGAAATAATGCTTCATTATGAGCATCACTTTTTCGATTCTGTTGGTCCCCAATGCTTCCAGGTAGGAGAGAAATTTTTGACGGAAGAAATGAATTTTTGCATTGAAGATTAGTGATACTATCAAAACCAGTCTTTTTTCCAGATTATGGGATTTGACGTAATGATTCGAGCCGATGGGAAGCCAATCCTATTAGAGGTCAACGCCGCACCATCCCTCACAGCGGACCATATGGTCCCTTTTCCAGGAAAAACTTTATCCGATGGCGGCCAACGTGTCAGAAGCGTTGTTGACGAGGTTAATTATTCCATTTTCTTCTCATAAATCATTCATGAATTTTCATTCAGGTTATCAAAGTTCCTTTGGTACGTGACACACTACTATTAGTTCTTGGACTTTTAGATGAGGAATATTCTGAAAAGTAAAAAAAGTGAAATAGAAAATTTTTATAACATTCCGGAATGTTCAGAAGTGTTGAAACTAAGTCGATGGATGATTTTCATACTATTGCAAGTAAAAGAAAGCCTCATTTAAGCGAAGTAAACAACTATAAATCGAATAATATGATTATCGTCAAATTTAGATTTTCCCTACTCGTTATGGAGCACATAGCGGACATTTACTGTTCCTGGACAAGGCGATGTATATTTATATGCAATTTGTGCAGCTTAAAAATAATGTAAATATCACAAATGCTGGTATGAAACAATTTGTGAGGTACTCGAAGCTAAAGGCAGCCCATTTCACTGAATTTTCTTCAGGAAATGCAATTTGATAGACATTATTCCAATCCAAGAGGTCGATTCTAAAATTGCCGAGATAGATTACTATTTTACTGGTGATAAGCAGACTAGCTCCAATGGTGTGTCTTTCAAACGCTCAATAATTAATTCACTTTACAGGTCTGCCCTTTCATGCATTCTTGATGTTTTTATTCTATGTTGCCGATCGAAAGTTTAAACTTGAAACGGACACATTATCCAAAGTTCAACGGTTACTCTCCTTCTGTGACATGAGCTTAAGACATTATGGCGTGCGATCGGCGAGATTAAGACGAGCTGAAATTGATTCTTCAAAAAATGGCGCTGGGTAAATTGCGCAGATATACATAGTCGGCGACCGGCAATTACAGCGTAGAAGTAAAATTACGGTTATAAATCTCTTCGATTTGGTCTTAATACGTATTTATTTTTTGCTGGATTTGTAGCGTTTCTGAAACTGAAATTGATTGCAACGAATTATAGAATGCAAAATACCTAATAATTAAAAGTAACCCTACAATCGGACGCCGACTATGCTAAATTTCAATTAACCTGCTGACAGAATTTTAATATTTAATTTAGAAAGGTTGTGATTTTAAAGTAGTCATGGATATTAATGCAAAAATGCCAAAATTCATAGTGCCTCTTCATTTGTGTTTTCCGCATGAATGAAGCAATACCTTCTTGCTATTTACATCAATTTTGTCAAAGTGAACGAGGCAAATATGTTATTTCCAAAAAAAATTTTTTTGAAATTCAATTTGAGCCTCGAAAAAAAATAAATATACTCAATTTCCTTTCGAGACGTGACGTAGTTTAGATCTGCTCGTTTTTTCGCGCATGAACTTTTGAAGGAAAATGAGAATAGTGCGATTGTTTTCAGGAATATCGAAATATACATGCTGCCAAATCGAATTCACCAAAAGACACGTAATTCAAAGCCGAACAGGAAGGTCCTAATTGGAATTAGCCTCTTCTATAATTTAAAAGTGCATTTTTAGCCGTTCAGCATAGATGCGAACAACAATCCGAATCATCTCCCCAGGATTTCTGAGAAACCTTGAAATCTTTCGTTATTTATTCATGCCGAAACTAATAAATTATATATTTTGACTAGTGCTAGTGTTTAGAATTTGCAACTATCATCCAAGTCATTCAAACCGCTTGCAGTATGTGCTTGAGCGTTGTGAGAGGGGCTCACGGAAGGATATTTTTTTTATTATTATTTGCATTTCCTTATTTTTTCTACCTCAATTGTCTCGTGTGTCACACGCCAGTTCCCACCATGGTTCATTTTTATATTCATATATCCATTGATAGCCAATCGAACGCGGTTTTCCTATCAGCCCCGTGACTAATGAAATGTTGTCACTATGAAATCCGATTATTGGAGAATAATCGGTGAAGTAGCGCATTTTTTTGAATACACTTTAGCCGATGCTTCTGCATTGAAACTCTGATTTTTTTGCGTGATTTTGAAATTACCCAAAAGAAATGAGGAATTACAATTTCACTTTTCGACTATTTCTGATGAGCTGTAATTTTTCAGTTTCAGCACATTTCACTTTATCTGAACAATTCCAGAAGGACTTCATGAGATTACTAAGTTCATTTGAAAAATTTCTGTTCCATGAGTGAAATTTTTTCTAGAAGCAATTTCCCGAAAATCATCCATTAGTGTTTAAACTAGCAATTATCTATTACAATTTCAAATATTTTTTTTAAAGTTGCGTGGTCCAAGAAATGTTGCAACATTTGTCAATCATCGCTTTTTTTCTGCCAGTTTCGTTCTTCTCAAACATCAATCAATCTTACGGAAATGCAACAAATCAGAAAACAGAAGGTCATCGAAAATTTGGTTAAAAAAACTAGCAGATTATGTCAACTATCGATTCCTTCAGTCGATCTTTCAGCTTTGTCCTATTTTTTATTATAAAAGTAGGGATATTTACGTTCGATCCAAATATGCCGGCTTTTTCTGAAATGCCTCTAATTGGATATAAAAAGGAAGGATGCATATTGTTATTTTTGCAAATATTTGATGTATACTTATAATTATACCTATAGCTAGTCTTTATCTTCGATGAATGCCAGAGGTGATATGACAAGTTTTTTGGGATGCAACCCTATGCTGTTGAGTGTAATATTTTCCTCCAGTTGGCACCTATTCACATTCATTAGCACCTTCGGGTACAACAGGCATTATAACTAATCATTTTTACGGCCTCCATTCATTATCTGTTCATTTTTTTAACGTGTATGTGATATCTGCCGAAAACACATACGACATTGGCCGCCTGCTCAGTTCCTTATATTCAAATTCAATTTTAAAATCTTGTTCGAGAAATTGCTCTCAATATCATTTCGAGACAGCACGCGCCACGAAGAGATGTCGAAAAAAAAGGAAACAGGCGACGAATGCGCGCAGAGCTTCTCCCAAGAATCGCTCTCTCTTTTTTTATATTATTATCATATTCCAGCTATAACGAGCTATTCATTTTTTATTTTTTTCTTGAGGTTTGTAAATAGAAAATCATTTCAAAAGAGCCCAAATTGAAGGAATTTTGTAAATTTTTCATAAAAATGTTTAAAGGAATAAATGTTTATTGTTTAATATTTTAAACAATATGTATTCGTTATTATTAATCAAATCTATAAAAATCTAAGCATATCAGCTTTTCATATGACATCAAATGTTTTTCGAGAAAAATTCCCAATTCATTAATTAAATTTTATTTATATGGTTAATCAATCACAAATAGCGGGGGTTTTATTTTTAATTCAAGTTGTTTTTATTTTACATCATTTGTCTAAAAAGGAGAATCATATCTAATGGTAAATTTCTGATCATATTTAGAATGAATGCTTGTTATTTATTTTTAATCATTATTTGACGAAATAAAAAAGGAAGTGAAATAAAAGACACGTTCATCGAAATTTGCAAAGATGCGGAACGCTCTGAAATTGAAGTCAATTAGTAGCGGAACACCGCACGATTGTACTAATAAGACGAAACCTATTGAATGGCTCGATAGTATTCCAGCCATATGTATTCCTACATATTTTGTCATGTATATTTGTTTCTTGGTTTTTCTCTTAGCTCATGTGCCCACATTGATTTTGCTTCCAGTGTTTTTTAAAAGTTGATATCCGTACCGCTTTGCCGTCTAAGCGAAAAATTGTTTGTTGATCCAAATTAATTTGTTTTCTAAAAACAATTATGGTTTTCTCTTTATCTCTTTGTAGTTCGTCAGATTGATAAATAATAATTAATGTGTGTTTTCGAATCATATTAAGCAAAATCTTGTGAAAAATAAGGTAGGTCTTCTTCAAAAAGAAAGCACATTCTAATTTAATTCAATTTTTTTTTCGAATTTCACATATGTAAATTCGATTTTTCCTAATCCTTAAATATTTCTTGTTATAACATTTCCGTCAAAACACACTAACAAAGAATCAGTGAGCAGTGATCAAATAATCTCGTCAAATGAACAATCTTAGGATTTTGGTTCTTCCATCAATGAGACTTCGAGTCGACTCAACAAGCTTGAATACGCAACAAGTATCTTGAACCATTATGTGAAAATTTCACACTACAATATCGTCTTACGTCTATGTGTTTCTTTCAATTTTTGTTTCTTTCTCAACACAAATGTTTCTAGTTTCGAGTATAACTTGCTTTGATCATATTCAAGAAATTCAAACTAATTTTCCAATTACCTCGCTCAATAACACATTTCTTCGTTGTAAGGAAGATGCTAAATCTTGAAACAAAAAATGCACGCAACGCTTATTCCCAACAAAGAGTTCATTCAATTCTCGCTTATTTGATTTCGCGAGTTCTTTCGCACAATAAAGCTGTAGAGATGTTCGAACACCATTTTTCAATTTTTTTCTTTTCTGCGAGTTCAAGCCCATCGAAGGAAAACGATTTGAAATTCATTTCAGAACCCGAGTTTGAAGTATGAGTTCCGGAATTTGCGTCAAACATATTTCACAACATCCTGTTGAACTTATGAACGTTTAAAAGTCAGTACAATTGATTTTGATTTTGTTTCTCATCAGCGTGATATATCTTTTTTTCATCCGATAAATGTATTAGAATTCTCAGTTCCCTTATGGTGGAGCCAAAATTTTAATGAAGACTCAGAGGCAATGAACTACAAAAAATGTCCTAACATTGTTGAATTATCGGTTGTTTCTGCATCAAAGCTCGCTTTACAAAATTTCTTTTTCGTCCCGCTCCTTTTCCGGTCGCAAACCCCTGATTGCTTTGTGAACTCCGTTTTTTTCTGATATGTCTTTTTATCCTGATTGTGGTTTTCTAACAAGAAAGAAGTTGAACCATGAAAAAAACTAAACATAAGTTGAAATGCCTTGAATAATCTACAAATTTTAATTTCAGAAATATGAAGAGTTTGCAAATAGTATGTGTTTTATTTTTATATAATGTTTAGAATTTTGCTAAATATTCAATAATCATATATCTATGATAAAAACCTCTGAACTTCATCTCATACTTGAATTCAACATGTTGTAAGAAACAACAAAATAACAATTTTCTCTTCACCAACCTTTAATTTTTATGTATTTAAATATTTCAAGCATGAGAGAATTTTTAGAACATTCTTGAAAACCACACATTCACAAGTCTCAAATCACACTATTCAACTTTACGATTTGAAAATTTTAATACGATTTAACACCTTTCAAAAGAAGATTCAAAAAATAACTTTAAGGATTGCGCTGTTGCTCCCTTTGTCTGCTTTTTATTGAGGAAAGAAATACTTTTTTATGCTTCCTCTTTTTTTTCCTTTTTTGTTTTCCTTTTTTCTTAAAAGGTTTTTTATTCGAATCGCCTATGCGATAATTATCGGTCGGAAATATTTATGTATTTCCATCCGCTGAGCATTATCCTTTTCTCCATTTTCAATCAAGTATATTCTTATTTGAGCTATTGAAAACTTTTCTCAATTTTCATGGCTGCTCACGAGAACGTAATTCGACACATTGTTCAAGAATGGAATATTCGAATATATATGCATGTATGTGTATTGTTGAATTTTTTTCCTGCTCTGAGAGCTGGTTGTGATCTCTGGTTGGCCAAAATGAGCGTCAACAGCGAATTTTTGAAGACACTGTGAACACTTTTGAGGCTTCCAACCCAATTCAATTATTCTTCATATTTACCTGGTTTATTCACAAAATGATGCGAGAACTGCAGAATTTTCTAGTTTGGTATATCATATTTCGAAGTAAAATAATCGAGAGTGGTCAAAATAGAAATATATTTTCAATTGTTTGAATCAAAATTTATATGTTGAGCTGTATTATAATGATTTATCAATGTTCTTCGCCTTTTATCTCCAATAATTAAAGTGTGGAGATATGTGACGAGGAATATGTGATAATATCTAACATTATTTTTTGTTTTCGTAAAAAATAGAATAGAAATTCTATATCGAATTCATTGCATTCCATTTCCTACCAGATTTTGTGCATACGCGTATACTATGGGTATCCAAAATTCATTCATTTTTTCATTAGTCCAAATACCGATATCTTATAACTTAATTTGCAATTCAAGAACCTATTTGCTCATTGTGTATTCACTTAATTCGGTTTCGCTTTATAACTTACATGAGGATTCGCCTTTTTCTTGAGTTCAAACTATTAAAAAAGTAAAATTTTTGAAAAGCGGAGGGTCACGTTGTCTCAAGGATCCATTTCGTAGAAATTGCACATTTGCCAAATGAATAATTAATTTAGTTTCCCAAACAAGTAAAGTTGAGGAATATTTATCAAAGATGTGCGTAAAATTCTCTCGTTTTCTTTAGCTGCCGGATTTAAATTTCCACCGGAAAAATATTTAGAAAATTTTGAAAGATTTTCTAGATAAGATTACTAGAAATTTTTAGAGATGCATGTAGGGGAAACTCTAAAAATTTTAAAAGCGAAAAATTGGTTTTAAAATTTGGGTGAGTTTCGTTCATTTATGCGGCATTCTGCAAATTTGTTTTTTTTTTTGGGTCTAATGGATTGACTGCTCGTCATATTTACTAAA